CTTAAAACGGTATTAAATAAATGTTGTTGTTGTTGTTGTTGCCGTGCGCCATTTAAGGCAAGGGGTGCCATCTATAGAATTCGACTTCTGCCACACCCATACGTCACACCCGTTTATAGGGTGGACCCATCCATGCACCCATTCATTCATCCACAGATCGTAATTTTGACCTGAATCTGACCTGAGCGATCTATCTCCAATTCAGTACCCCCAGATTTATAATTTGTTATGGCAACATGGAGGACTTTGTGGCCAGACAGATTTAACGTGCGCCTGTCTCTAGTTACTACACGAGTATGAAATGAATAATTTCACTAAACTCGAGGCAAAATAGGCTTGATAAAATTTGTTTCAAAATATATGAAGAGTGTAAAAGTCGACATGTTTCGAGCACTCAAAAGTAGGCACCCATTCTCAAGATCAGGCATGGAGCTGAAGAAAAGACTTGAGAGTCTTAGCTAGAGGGGAAGTTTTCAAATTTCGAGATTCCACAGATACGAAAGCTAGTTAATAAAATAAACCTGGTACGCTATTTCTCTTTTCTAAGCTTATTTCTTAGCTTAGCACAGGAATTAAATCAAAATTAGCTTAACAAGCATGAAAACAAATTTGAAAGAAGCATAATTATTTCCTTTGCATTTAACTTTAATTCAATAACATCGTTCGAAGTTAGTTCGATCTTCACGTTTTAGGACTCAATTTTAATGTTACAAAGAGTTGACATTAAAAATGCGAATTAAGAGTTAACGAAATCTGGCAACAAAAAAAAATTCTTTCTCTGAATAAACATACTACTTTTTCGACGGATTTCGATTTCTGACACCCAAAATATAGAGGATAGCTGCTGTCTGGGAAACACGATCAAATCAAAATTTGGACCCTTTAATGCTAATTTTGCTTTTTGCATAATTTTTTAAGTATTTCTGATTTTGTTAAGTGTTTATAGGTCAAGTTAACTGGAAAAAAACGCGAATTAAAATTCAATGGAGACATTCTCATTGCGTCCGCTGGTGAATTATGAATCATAATATTTGCACCAATCAGATACGAAAAAAATGGCTGCGTCTGAAACTTGTTTTATTACTAAACTAACATTAAAAGGAATCGCAAGGAATAGTGTTTTTTTTTCCTTTTTTTTTGTATCTCTGTTTTGTGTCTTGTTTTTAAAAAAATGCGTAGGACAAACTGCAACGGAATATTAGTTCCGTTACTTGTAGCGCGTTTTTTTCGACCATAGAATGAAGGTATTTACACGTTTAAAACATTCTAAATTAGACTAAAAGTTCTTAAAAATACAGTCCCTGGCCAAATTATTATACGCACTATGAGATTCTATGTATAATCTTAATTATCAGGTGATAATATACAGCTTTATTGTTCTTACGTGACTGTTTGCACTTGCTTACATTCCTGTATCAATTAGTTAACATTGCAATGGAATACGCTAAAAATAAATACAAATAGGAAGTAGATAAAAAAATCTCCCGAATAAAATCCCATTACATGTATGTTTAAGTATTGCCTAAAAGCTAGTGCAAAACGTGTCTGAAACACTACAGCTCGTCTAACAATTTGGTCTAATTTATTATAATAGAATACCTTACATAATAAATATTCTGTAATTATTCTCTTGCAAGCCTGGGGAAAAGCTTCTTCAAAATCACATGGACATGATCTCAATACGGTACTCTCGTATTAATACTTATACGAACTCTTTAGTATGCATCATCTCGGAGTACCCAAGCCTGGGAAAAATCTTCTTTGTCGATTCCGAAAGGGGTAAAAAGACAAGAACTTTTCTAAGTTGAACACATTTCTACGTGTAGAACTTTTTGAATGAAACGAACTCGCATTTAACTCTCACGAAAATAAACACTTCGTCCCATTAGCCTAAAAGTAAAGGAGCCATTATTGCATAATACCATCCATCACTGGAGATGTTGTGCATACCCCCTCCCCCAGTGGTAAAAACTTAAACATCCGATATTTTTATGTGACCTAAAAATCATGGTATATGTATCAAGAGACATATTTTTCATTATTTCAGTCGCAATTCATCTTAGACACAGTAGAATAAAAATCTTAAATGAAAGATCTAATAAGTGGTAAATGATCTTTTTTTAATGTTATAAATTATCTCAAAATACAAAAATGGCTTCTATTTTGCCTCTCAAAATTGAAAGGAAGTAAAAATCTTTGAGTGCAAATTCAGTTAACCCGATATTGACCAATAATTGGAGAAAAAAAAATCAATTGAAAAAATAAAATTTATAGTTTGCTGCGTCGTGCTTTGAAAGCCATAAAATTCATTCTGACCAAATTCGTTAACAGATGAACTTGTTTACTGAAGAAGCACTATAAAACATTATTTTCAAAACAACCACCATTAACAGTTACAAAGTCGTGCACATGCATTTGTTTCGATTGTAGTTTAAATTACGTAACCTACTTTCTGTCAGCTGCGGCATCTGTTGATAAACTTCGTCACTAATGTTGAAATTTTGATTTTAAACTGGTTTCCTAAACAAAACTATCTTTTTTTTAAAAAATTCATTTTTCATATTGTTAGTCAGGGGGTGTAGCTCAGAGGTAGAGCGTTTGCTCTGCATCTAAAAGGTTTCGATCCCCCGCACCTCCACATTTACTTTGCCGACCAGACTGCGAAGTCAATGGCTGCGGGTTCGAATCCCGCTCAGGGCATGGGTGTTTCACTCTGTGTGTTGTTCTCTAATGTGTGATATGTGAATGTGGCCCACCCTATAAACGGGTAACTGTGCCAGTGTGGCGTGGGTAATGTTGCTCGCCTTCATAACTTTGGTTCACAGGTGCCCACTGGGTAAACGGTAAATGAGTAATACTTTCGGCATCTTCCTAGGCAAAGAATGTACATGCGTCTTCCAAAAATGACTATTTTTGGAAGACGCTAATTATTTTATTTGTATAATTAATCTTGATTTTTATTGTACGTTACTTTTAAACCAACGCTGTTACGGTGAAAGAATTAAATACTAATCGATGCTAATTTTTCCGTATAAAATCTAAGTTTAAAATTAGTTAAACCTTTTTGTTTCGAACAAAAAATTAATCTTCAAAAGAAAAAAAAAGTGTTTTAACAGACTTTAAAGGATAATGACTTACTAATTGAGCATTAAAGCTCTCGTTGCCAAAAAGTGTTATTTTTATTTATTTTCGGGGGTGAAAGGAACAATTAAAATGCCATCAACATAGAGATAATTAGTAGAAGAAGGGAAAGTTTTGAAACAAAAGTTATTTTCTTCAGTAAATTACAGCGTGGAGAGAGAAAATTTACTATTTCTCCCATTGAAGAAAACGTTTCTCACTTTAAGTAATAGGAGAGATTATTACTTCACTGTTGAATGTAGACGTGCAAGCATGAAACTTTGCTTTATTAGTGAGTGAAACTAGTTAGCTGGTTGAGATAGAGTTCTTTTGTTTTAATCGATCGGATTTTTCTGTTTAATCGATTTCCTGGTTTAATTATTTCGCAGCCGAATTTATTGTGGAAAGGTTTCTTTTCCTTTAGTTAGGGAGAGGTAGAGATTTTAAAAAGCTGTTCTTTCCAGGTTTTCTTTTAAATATTTTTTTATTTTATTACCGTCGTTGAACAGCTGGCCCAATTTTGGGTTTACGACTACTAAGGTTCAACTTCGTAGCCTTGTAATTCTGAACCACTCCAGATGACAAGGAAACTCCTAGATCAGTACCCGCAGAAGTATTGATTTGTTATGAGAACATAGAGGACTTTGTGACTCGACATATTTTACGTGCGCCAGTCACCATTTACTACACGGGGAGTCTTCGGCCGGTGTGGGATCGAACCCAAAAACTCTCGGACATAGGTCCAGTGCCCTGCCAACCAGGCTATCCCGGCCTCAAAATAAACTAATACTTTTCGGATTAACGGAGCTGAGATAAATGTAAAATGATACATCTTTGATAAATGAAGGAGTGGTGTTACTACTGTTCAGATTTATGTGGCTCTAAAAATGTAATTTTAGCATGAAAATAATCAATTGAGCCACTACTCTGTCTAAACACAGGATCCCGATTAACCCCTTTCTTCTCGCTCCCGTGAAAATGACGGGGTGAGATTTCGCCCGCTATTTCTCGCTCCCGTGATATTGACGGGCTGGAGTGTTCAGTAGTAATGCGCCAATAAGAATATAACTAATTCATTTCTTTTGCCCGGAAAACATTTTATTTCTCATTTTACACACCTGATGGCAGTACCAGGATATTAAGGTAATTGTAGATAGCAGGGGTCTGTTTAGAAGAAATTTGGGTCCGTTTTTAACTTAAAAACGGACCCTTCACAAATTTGTTTATCTTCATTATTATTTTGTTAATCGAATAAACCCTTTCCAGGGCAGAAAACAAGAAAGATGGATGTAAACGAATTAAGTTTTGTCTTCGGCAGACGATTCTTCCATTATTCGTCCGAAATGAATATTCTGCGTTCAGCAGTATAGGCTAAATACCAAATATTTGTATGTTGCATCTCTAATTTAGAAGGAGCAATTGTTGTTTATTTCTTAAAATTCAATTTTTTTCAATTACAATTTTACAGTGTTGAGCATAATCTTGTATGTCTTTACAATTTAAAAACTCTTTGAAAAAGTTTTTTTTTGCAATAATGGACCCTATTTGCACTAATTCATAAAAGCGGACCCTGGTTGAAAGAATGTGAGTAATTTCTTCACAATTTCACGAAAAACGGACCTTTCACAAAATGTCTAGACAGACCCCTGGATAGTTAGTTTATTTTAAACTAGTTGCAGCACTAATCAAGTACGTAATACAAAAGCAAAAAAAAATAGGCACTTTTATGACCGTTTTGTTGAAAATTAACCGATCGTTAAGGGGTTAATGAGATTATACATTAATTAGAGAAATAACGCGATCTATATTAAACATTTACTAATTCTTCTTATTGTTTCTAATATTCTTCTTTATTTAATTAATTCCTCTTATAATTGCAGATTCGTTAGAATGGCTGAAGTTAGGAGGAAACAAACTGAATCACATACCACAGGTTGCTCTTCGGAATTTCAGTCACCTTCGCCAACTGGATTTGCGCTGCAATTCTATTCCAAGCATTGAAGCTCAATCTTTTCAATTCTATGGAAGAACACTCAAGTTTATTTTTCTCCAGAAAAACAAGTAAGTTTGGATTTACGAACAACCTATTAACCATTTCTATCTTTTTACTATACAGTGAACAAAACTGAAATGAAAGTATAGTGCTTTGACAAAACTGAAAAAATAGTTGGCAGTACTTAAGTACTATACTCCGTACTATTTCAAGTTAAACACATCAGACAGAAAACTACTTAGTGCTATCTTTCACGATATATATCATACAACAGGAATCTTAGACTTGGCGATATATTTCGATGAAAAAAAGAACATTCATTCTTGAAAAAAAAAACAACTATAAGACGTTGCAAAGGCCTGGCATTGCATTGATTATAACAATAAAATTGGCACGGCATATGCTGACATGCCCTCAACAAATCAAATGCGAGATAAAAAAATTTACATTTGTTTCGCTGCGGAAGAAAATCGTTTGCAAGAAACAATATTTATTATTCTTTTATCAGTTCTTTCAATTGGATACCTGCAAGTGACGTAGCGTAAGCATCTCGATCCTGATTGGTTGCTGAAACGTGGCATTTGGTTACGTTAGCAACTGCTTTTTCCATTCTATTTCGAGTAAGTCAAGCCCGTCAATTCTCTTATGTAACACACCCTATATTCTTTCACAAAGAATTCAATTCTTTCACTATATATTTGCACCAAGATAGGCTCAAAGCCATGTTAAATATAAACAAACTTATTATGCATCGAAGTTGCCAGGCACGCGAACCAAAAATACATCACGGTTACAGTAAAATACATAAACAAATAATATATCTAAATTAAGTAAATGAAATGGTCGGGAAAGAACTATATTTTAACAAACTCGATGTTCAAAACCGTTCTGTTTTTTATTAACTTTAAGTTAGTTAACATTCTAAGTTATGCAGGAAAACTACTTTAATACGTTATTTGGCTGATGAAGATTAGCTGGCTCTGATGTCATATGTCACGTGTGTGCATATTGGTTGTCTTCATCTTCTTGGAGTGCAAGTAGCAATTTGCAAATAGAAAGGAGTATATTTTTAACGATTATTTCCTCATTTCTCGTGTTTTAAAAAAAAACACGAAAAAAGAACTTTTGTGCAACTTTGTTTGAAGCTTTGGCGATGTTGATATACGTTCACGCTGGGAGCTTGGCATCCATTTGACTTGCACTTACAGTCTGGCCAAATTATTAGACCCACTGAAGTTTTTTAATAATTGGGTATACTATAGCCTACGTCACAGGTTGTGTTATTCCTAGTAAATTTAACCCATGAACGGCATTTTCTGCGAGCCTAACTTCAAGCCACAAATAAACAAACGAAGTGTTTGATCGTTTAAATAGCTGCTCGCCAGATTTTATTGCATTATAAAGAAAAGTAATTGATATTCGATTTTTGATTAATAATTGATTTATGTGGATAGTGGCATAGAATTTAGCATTGCGTCATGGTAAATGTTATTCCTACTAAGTGGAAGTAGTTGTGTTTTTTTTTATATTATACCCAATTACATGTTTTGCACGTGTTTATATGCAATACTTTTATATTTAAATATACATGTTATGGCTTTTTAATTGGGTATACTATAGTCTACATCACAGATCGTGTTATTCCTACTAAATTTAAGTAGTAAACAACATTTTCTGCGAACCTGATTTCTAGCAACAAGTAAAAGCATCAAACGAAGTGTTGTTGTTGTTGTTAATTTACGTCGAACTAGAGCTGCACAATGGGCTATTGGCGACGGTCTGGGAAATATCCCGGAGGATCAAACGAAGTGTCTTGTTTATAAGTCGCTACTCGCCAGGTTGGAATTGTATTAGTCTAGTTCCTTTGGAAATAATTTATATTGATGTTTTACCGAAGCTTCTGAATTTAGTAAACATATTTAAAACTCAGTTTATTAATTAAACTAAAAGGTAAATGTTATTCCTAGTAAGTGGAAGTAGTTGTGCTTTTTTCATATTATACCCAATTCGGAGATTTTTTATATGCTTCCTATTTATATTTATTTTTTACGTATTCCATTACAATGTTAACCAATTGTTACACGTAACGTTAACAAGTACAAACCGTGTAAAAACAATAAAGCTGTAATAGTGTCACCTAATAATTAAGTTTTACGTAGAATCTTATTGCGCGTCGAATAATTTGGTCTTATATTATATTTTCTTTATAGTCACGTTCGATAAGGTGGAAATATAATGCTAAGGCACAAAAGCAAGATTTGTAGAAACCATGGTAAAGAAGAAGGGAAATTGTGGAGAATAAGGAAATTCCGTAACCTTGGTTTATGCAGGTTTCAGTGCGAATCATGATGGTCACCATCATCCAACATTTTCCATTATGTGTTCGTGGTTTTCTATATGCCAGCAAACTCCATCATTCCATGATGGAAAATTCTACTTTAATACTATTATGGCTAGCCATCAAGAGATCTTTGATTCTCATGGACCAACAATCCATGATAATCCGAGCTGAGCATTTCTATATTGGTTTAATGGGAATTCTCGTTGTTTCTCAGGAATATACCATTGAAACAATTTGTTTTTTATGTTGACCCACCACAAATCAATCCGAATTCCTACATTAGGATGATGGTTGTTCATGATCATTCCAACATTTAATTTCTAAGAAAGTATGATGGAAATTTCTGATAGTTCAGCATGAACAAACCATCAAAACAAGTTGCTATTCTTATGCTGGACTATCATAATTCAGTCCGAATTCTTACATTGGTGTGATGGTTACTTATATGAATTACCATAAAAAATATAATGATTCATGATGAAAATTTTGATGGTTACCATCAAGATTATGTTGGTCCATCAATGGAAAACCATCAGAAATTTTGTCTTGAGTACAAAGAGTATAATTACATGTCTTAACAAAATCGCAAAAAATAGGGAATGTTTTTTTGTTTAATGTTAACCTTCAGCTTTTTTAAATGCATTTCAATGTATGCTGTGTTAAAATATGCGATATACATGGTTATGAAAATATTCGTTTTATGGCAAAATTTAATGACGTCACTTTTTTTGTTTCAGAATTCAAAGAATTGCTGAAGGAGCTTTAGATGTTTTGGAATCAGTTGAATGGCTGTATCTGCATTCTAACGAGCTGAAGGAGTTGCGCTTCAACACATTTAGAAACATTATCGATAATCTTCATGTTCTTGATTTACATGGTAAATTCCTCATTTCTCTAACTATTTACTCGAGAAACTTTCATATTCTTTGTTGCTAGGCAACTGATGAAAGCATAATCTGATTTTCTTCATCCATACAGACTGTTTGTTGCTAGGCAACAGACTTGTCTTTGAGAAAAAAAAATTCCAAACAGAGATTTTTTTTCAAATAGAGAATTTTTAGATTTTATTTGAAATTATGTGACCTGAATCTATAGATTTTAATTATTTACTAGGGTTCTTCAACTTTTTTAAGGAGTGAAATACACTGGTGTTAGAAATTAAGAGAATTTGCAGAGTCTGTTGATTATCTCTAAAACTACTGGACCGATTTTAATTAAATTCGATCTGTACATACATTGTTACAATACAAAACAAATAAACATTCAACAATTGTTATACACAAGCATGATCGTGCGTAACAATCCGTTGGAGTCGGAAGGTATGAAACAGCGGTTGCAGAATAAGCAACAAAAAATGGATTAATAGGAGGTATGGTCCCTCTTACAGATATACAGGCCTTGCATCGTGATGTCTTAATTGTTGTTGTTGTTAATTTACGTCGCACTAGAGTTGCACAATGGGCTATTGGCGACCGTCTGGGAAACATCTCGGAGGATGATCCGAAGACATGCCATCATAATTTTGATCCTCTGCGGAGGGGATGGCACCCCAGCTTCGGTAGCCCGACAACCTGCGCGCGAAGTCGAGCACTTTACGGTAGCACAGTGTAACGAGGACCCATACCGCACACCCTCGGTCCCTACGCAGACTGATCCAAGTGGTCACCCACCCGCACACTGACTGCAGCCAGTGATGCTTGACTTCGGTGATCTGCTGGGAACCGTGTCTTAACGATCAGTCCACTGCGGGACCGTGATGTCTTGAAATAAGACAGCTTTCGCCTTCCAATGAGGCGAATCAGGCTCGAATCCCAATTGATACGAATTCCGCATCCGGCTTGCACCGACCGCAGTGCTGACGTGAAATATCCTCAGTGGTAGACGGGTCATGGGTTAGAATCCCCTTGCCTTCAGCCTATACGTGGAGGTTCTCCTGGTCTTCCTCTCCATGTAACGCAAATGCGGATTAGCTCCATCAAAAAGTCCTCCACGAGGGCAAATTTCTCCCAATACTCGATCCAGGAGTTCCCTTGTCTTCTGGATAGGGTTCAAAATTGCAAGGCTGCGGAGTTGAACATTATTAGTCGTAAACCCATCAAATTGGGCCGGCTGTTCAACGACGGTTAAAAAAAATGAGACAGTTCATCATTTTCTGTAACAATTGTCCTGAGGCAATTTCATACCTTCCTACTCCAACGAGTGTTACGAATGATCATGCGTGTATATTACAATAATTGAATGGTTGTTTGTTTTGTATTGTATCAATGTATTGTACATATCGAATGTCATTAAAATCGGTCCAGTAGTTCTAGAGATAATAGACCCAGTCTGCAAATTCTCTTAATTTCTTTCACCTGTGTGTAATACCCGGCAAAAGTGGACGATTCAAGTGGGCATTGCAGATATGATTTTTAACCATATCAAAATTATATTATTTGTGAGAAGTACGACTTCTACATTTTCTCGAAAACATCAAAATTTCCTCTCACCGAATTTGCACTGCCTTTAAACTTTCACGAGAGGCATCTCTGCTCTCCCTCCTTGAGAATATTTAATGAATTTTAAGGATGAAAAGTAGGATTTCTACACAAAGAATGTTTCCTAACTCAAATATATGACCATTTCAAACCTAACTAAAAGTAATGGTATTGTTTGTGTTTTCTTCCAAAATTTCGAGGCTATACTTTTCTCAGAAGGCACTATTTGATTAAAAAAAATTTTTTTTAATCCGTAGTGTCCACGTGAACTGTTCACTTGTGCCGGATATTACGTTTCGGTTCGGCAAAACAAACGAAAAAAAAAACAGTTGAAAAAAGGCACCCTATTGAGCCAACACCTAGAAGTAGAAAGGCCTCAGCACGGATCAATTTAGTAGTCCGATGTGGCGAAGTTAACTGCGCAGTAGACAAAAAATAAGAAAGATGTCATTGCGTTAGGGGTACTAAGCTGTGCAGTGGTTGAAAATACAAAATATGTCATTACGTTTGGACTACTAAGGGATATTTATGGTAACCCGTGCTGAGGCCTGTTCTTTCTAGGAGGTGTTGATTGAGCCCTCACGCTCTTTGTCTGCTGAATCGGTTGAAATCATTTCGACGCTCACACTCAGTCTAAACCGAATTAATAGAATTGAGTTTGTAGTATATCTGCCATTAAAAAAATACAATTCCAATTCACTAGTATATAAGACACGTTAACTCGATTCTATGTTGGGGTGCTTGCTACTTGTGACTGCGACATTATCCACCTCCTCATGCTGTTGCTACTCAGTCTCGATCAATCAGCGTCGTCCTGCATACACTCGACTGCTCATGGCAACCCAGGAGCAACCACGACTGGTAACTTAATATAGCTCTCACGATCAGCAAATGTACGGCGATCTTTATACAGCTCTCCCGGCTTCTCACAAAACAGAAATGAATCAACTAGTGGTATCCGTTCATCAAATTCTATCTCAGATATAATTCTGGTGGGGGAGTACTGTAGTGTATCTATCTTCTTGCTGACTGGACTCGTTCCTAGGCTGGTGTGGAGCCGGACCAGTAGTCAAGCTTTGGGCTATATGGTAAAGGGTCCATAATGACCTAGGCACATGTCCNAATGAGCGCTAACCTCTGATTGGTCCATTTGTGAGTTTGATAGTATACGTCATCGAGTTCAAGATGAGCGTTCGATGACGTACACTATCAAACTCACAAATGGACCAATCAGAGGTTAGCGCTGATTTCCAGCTGATGGCGTCCTGTCCTAATAAACCAGGCCTTTAAAATATGCGATATACATGGTTATGAAAATATTCGTTTTATGAAAAAAATTTAATGACGTCACTCTTTTTGTTTCAGAATTCAAAGAATTGCTGAAGGAGCTTTAGATGTTTTGGAATCAGTTGAATGGCTGTATCTGCATTCTAACGAGCTGAAGGAGTTGCGCTTCAACACATTTAGAAACATTATCGATAATCTTCATGTTCTTGATCTACATGGTAAATTCCTGATTTTTTTTGAACTATTTATTTTCTGTTTTATATTCCTTGTTGCTAGGCTACTGATGAAAAAAATTCTCTGATTTTCTTCATCCATACAGACTGTTAGTTGCTAGGCAACAGACCTGTCTTTTTAAAAAAATTCTCTGATTTTCTTCATCCATACAGACTGTTAGTTGCTAGGCAACAGACCTGTCTTTTTAAAAAAAATTTTTGATTTTCTTCATCCATACAGACTGTTAGTTGCTAGGCAACAGACTTGTCTTTGAGGAAAAAAAATTCCAAACAGAGATTTTTTTTCAAATAGAGAATTTTTAGATTTTGTTTGAAATTATGTGACCTGAATCTATAGATTTTAATTATTTACTAGGGTTCTTCAACTTTTTTAAGGAGTGAAATACACTGGTGTTAGAAATTAAGAGAATTTACAGAGTCTGTTGATTATCTCTAAAACTACTGGACCGATTTTAATTAAATTCGATTTGTACATACATTGTTACAATACAAAACAAATAAACATTCAACAATTGTAATGCACAAGCATGATCGTGCGTAACAATCCGTTGGAGTCGGAAGGTATGAAACAGCGGTTGCAGAATAAGCAACAAAAAATGGATTAATAGGAGGTATGGTCCCTCTTACTGATATACAAGCCTTGCAGCGTGATTTGTTAAAATAAGACAGCTTATCATTTTCTATAACAATTGCTCTGTGGCAATTTCATACCTTCCGACTCCAACGAGTGTTACGAGCGATCATGAGTGTGTATTACAGTTGTTGAATGGTTATTTGTTTTGTATTGTAACAATGTATGTACAGATCGAATTTAATTAAAATCGGTCCAGTAGTTCTAGAGATAATCAACAGACTCTGCAAATTCTCTTAATTTCTAACACCAGTGTATTTCACTCCTTAAAAAAAGTTGAAGAACCCTAGTAAATAATTAAAATCTATAGATTCAGGTCACATAATGTCAAACAAAATCTAAAAATTATCTATTTGAAAAAAAATCTCTGTTTGGAATTTTTTTTTTAAGACAAGTCTGTTGCCTAGCAACAAACAGTTTGTATGGATGAAGAAAATCAGATAATTTTTTTCATCTCTGCAAATTCTCTTAATATCTTACACTAGTGTATATATCCAGGCAAAAGTGGTAGTGGGCATTGCAGATACAATTTTTTTCTGTATCAAATTATATCATTTGGGAGAAGTATGGCTTCTAAATTTTGCTCAAAATCATCAAAATTTCCTCTCACTGAATTTGCACCGCCTTTAAACTTCCACGAGAGGCATCTCTGCCCTCCCTCCTTGAGAATATTTAATGAATTTTAAGGATAAAAAGTAAGATTTCTCCCCAAAGAATATTTCCTAACTCAAATATATAACCGTTTCAAACCTAACTAAGAGCAATGGTATTGTCGGTGTTTTCTTCCAAAATTTAGAGGCTATACTTTTGTCAGAAGGCACTATTTGATTAAAAAAAGATTTTTTTTCATCCGTAGTGTCCACGTGAGCTGTTCACTTGTGCCGGATATTACGTTTCGGTTCGAAAAAAAAAGAAAAAAAAAACAGTTCGAAAAAAAAGGCACCCTATTGAGCCCTCACGCTCTTTGTCTGCTGAATCGGTCGAAATCATTTCGACGCTCACACTCAGTCTAAACCGAATTAATAGAATTGACTTTGTAGTGTATCTGCCATTAAAAAAATACAATTCCAATTCACTAGTATATAAGACATGTTAACTCGATTCTATGTTGGGGTGCTTGCTACTTGTGACTGCGACATTATCCACCTCCTCATGCTGTTGCTACTCAGTCTAGATCAATCAGCGTCGTCCTGCATACACTCGACTGCTCATGGCAACCCAGGAGCAACCACGACTGGTAACTTAATATAGCTCTCACGATCAGCAAATGTACGGCGATCTTTATACAGCTCTCCCGGCTTCTCACAAAACAGAAATGAATCAACTAGTGGTATCCGTTCATCAAATTCTATCTCAGATATAATTCTGGTGGGGGAGTACTGTAGTGTATCTATCTTCTTGCTGACTGGACTCGTTCCTAGGCTGGTGTGGAGCCGGACCAGTAGTCAAGCTTTGGGCTATATGGTAAAGGGTCCATAATGACCTAGGCACATGTCCGAAGCTTGGAGAAAAGAAAAAAAAAGTGTATTGACCACTACAAATATACAATTCCAATTCATTAGTATATAAGACGTGTTAACTCGATTCAATGATGGGGGTACCTTTTCATAGATGAAGGTTGACATTGTCGATAGCTACATCTACACAAGTTCAACACGCACATCCAAAAGTGAATTGAATCTATAGAATTTCAAATTGATAGATTTCTGTTCAACACTGTGGGGACTGAATTTATAGAATTCCGGTTGAGACACACACAGGGACACTGTGAACTGAATCTAAATTTCAATTCAACACTTACCCACTGTGTGAATAGAATCTGAAGAATTCAGTTCGACACGCACTCTCTATGAGAACTGAATCATCGGAATCGAACTTTGGATCGCAATACTTTCGCGTCGTACATTGGCGAGAAAAATTAAATATGATCAGAGACGACAAAATCTCCTTGTACGTCTTAAATTTTTTTTTTAATAATAGCAGCTCTGAGCTTCCATAAAAGAGTAATATTTCGTTGCCGGAGTTGGCCAGCTAATTCATATTTGATTTATTGGTAACCCAACGATGTCCTGTTGCCCACGCTTCTAATTTTGAACCCAGTCCAGAAGACAAGAGAACTCTTAGACGTTGGAACAAACGTACATTCAGGGAGGGCTCTTTTAAAGAAACCAACTATCTATCATGGAAAGGAAAACTGTATAAACCTTCATCAGTTAGCCTTACATAAGGAGCAAACAGCACAATTTTTCCAGAACTAAAAATATAGTACACTATAGACAACTTTAATGTTTTATTTTATTTTATAACCGTCGTTGAACAGCCGAGCCAATTTTTGGGTTTACGACTACTAATGTTCAATCAAGTAACCTCGTAATTTTGAACCTAATCCAGAAGACAAGGGTACTTCTGGACCAAGTATTGGGAGAAATTTGCTTACGTGGAGGACTTTTTGATAGAACTAACCTACATTTGCGTTACATGGAGAGGAAGACCACGGGTACCTCACACGGTTAGCCTGACAGGACTGACCACTGAGGAAATTTTACTTTAGTACTGTGGTCGGTCTAAGCCGGATGCGGAATTCGTATCAATTCGTTCGAGGAAGGCCGCGTTTGCGGAATTCGTTCGAGGAAGACCACGGGTACCTCACACGGTTAGCCTGACAGGACTGACCACTGAGGAAATTTTACTTTAGTACTGTGGTCGGTCTAAGCCGGATGCGGAATTCGTATCAATCAGCCTACGCTGGGATTCGAACCCGGTTCACCTAATTGGAAGGTGACCGCTCTATCCCCTGAACCATCATGGCTCTATAGCTTTAATATAGTTCAAAACAGAAAATTAAATTTTGAATATATTTTTTTTAGGAAAATGAATTCCACTTTTAGGACTTAGTTCATAATTTAAGCGCCCATTGCAATTTAATAAATATTCAACTAACAATTATGAACTAGTTTTTTCATACTTAATAATATAATAGCACAACTGCTACAGTTAAAAGTTTTTTTCTTCCAATATTGGCAAAGAATAAGCTCTTTTTTTACACATAAAGTTAATAAATTTAATGGGAATTAGTTATATTTTTTGAAATAAATATATTATTGGAATCGTATTTATTAATTTTTTCCGTAGATTTAAATTTAGTTTCCTTTTCATTAAATTGAAAAGCCAATAGTTATTTCGGAGTCAATGGATTCATTAATGAATAATTCCAAACTACCATTTAAATTATTGCTTCTCTAAAGCTACCACCTTTTTATGACATTCTAGAAAATGTTTTTCTAAAAGGAAGAAAAAATTATCGAACAAAAGAAAGAATATTGAATAAAAATGTGTGCACATTGTCTCAAGTGCTTACGCATTACACAAAATCGATATATCGGATAAAAAAAAAGTAAATCCTAACGATAAACTTTGTTTTCTAAAAAAGAAAAAATTTCCATCGTACTCTAAAAACGTACTCCAGCTAATTAGTAAAGCCATGATTCGGTTTCAATACTTTGGCTCTTTTGAAAGTAATGAAAAAATCAAAATAAATGGAATAAACGTTTTAAATTTACTTTTGTGTAAACTTTGTCTGATAATCCTTCATTACGAACGATATTGGAAGAAACTGCATCTAATGTCTGATATTAAAATAACTTCTTTCGCATTGAATTTGTTGTTTAGTTCTTTTCTTTGTTATTTATTCTGCAAAAATAGCTGTGAAGAATAAATATTTGATTTTTGACTCTGTTTGGAGAGCATTTTAGAAAGTAGTTTAATTGAATTTACTAAAGAAACATTAAAGTAACGTAAATAGATTGAAAAATATATCATTTGTTTTTTTTTCAGTTTTCAAAAAGTTTTAATTCACAAAAAGAAAACTCGATGCTATTTTAAGCTTTACTGTACAAACTTTTTTTAAAATTAAATAGCTAAACAACAAAATATTTGAATAAGTTTAAGCAACTTCTTATTGTTTATTTTTTAAATTTTATATGACTTACTTTTTTTTTTAAAAAAAAGTTTTTTTTATGAGATATTTCTAGAAAGCATTTGTGCAAAATAAAGCCACGTGATCACGGCAAAACGAGGGGCTCATATTTCGTGAAAAATGTATGTTCTAATAGTTTCTAGAAAGATAAAAAGCTAGATTTTTTCATAACTGGTGTTGAACGAGTTATGAAAAGTTTATATTACTTACAGTCACTGGCTAAATTATTAGACGCTCTATAAGATTCTATGTAAAATCTTAATTATCAGGTGACACTATATTGTTTTTACGCGACTCAAACCGGTTTGCACTTGTTTACCTTCGTGTATCAATGGGTTGAATTAGACCATATAGAATATAAATTCAACGATAGGATAA